GCGGCCGCTTGCGTTGGTGGTGGTGGTGCTTGGCGGAGCGGTGTGTGGACGCCTCCAGCTCCGAGGTCAGGATGTCGAACATCACCTGCACGTCCCTGTAGCCACAGGTCTGCACATCCTCGTGAAGCTTCAGTATGCTGCCGCCGCTGCCTGCAGGGGGGGATAAGGATCTTGTCACTGTCATGGTCATGGATCACCCATTCACCCCCATCCCAAAGGGAGAGGACAGAGGAGGATCAAAGATTCAAAGGGAATTGTGACAGAGGCGTCTGTTTTTTGTCCACTTTGCTAGTGGAGGGAAAAGGGGTGTAGAATGCTGGCCGCCTTTTGACCTCCCAATTTTGGGTGGAGAGGAATGAAATACAGATACTCACAATATTTGTGACACTGTTTATGCTGCTAAAATTGTGGAGTATTCATGCTGAGCACATCGTTGAATTTGACCAATCCATTAATAATCGTACTATGTTAATTTGTATGCTTTATTTAACCTTATATTCCAATAATAAATAATGTCTCTTTTTTTTAGAAGAGGAAGGTAGGATGAATAATGTCTCTTGTGTTTGTTGTCTCAGTATCGTGGGCCTAGCTTGCATGCAAAAAGCCCATAGGCCCATGTAGTACATGTGTGATCTGTTACACCGAGGGCCCTTAGATACGGATGGGCCGGAATTTATCAATCTAATTGAAATGCATAAAACGCAACCCTGTGGGCTTTCGCTGGAACTGGAGGCCCATATTTGCTAAAATGTTCGCAGTACCTTCCTTTTTTTTGAATCTCGCAGTACCTTCCCTTTAGAAAAAGGAAGCGAAGGATTCGTACGGTTCTCTAAAACGAAAATGACGTTGGAACGGTTTACGGCAAAGCGCTAGAAACCAAGAAACTACTCCAATCAAACGAAGAAAGAGAAACAGAAAGATGAGGTAGTAAGCATATGTTCCAACAGAAAGCTAGCACAAAACGGACGGTAAGAGGATCGACCGACACCGTCTTTTCCCGCATGGCCGCATTCGATATTCTACCACGACAGCAACTCGTGCTGCACCGTAAGGTTCATCCTTATCTACAATCTGAACGACCCCAAGGAAACGAACTACCTGAGCAAAAGAAGGTTCCTCCCTTCAACTTTTCCAGAACCAAGAACATTTCCCTTCCGGAGTACGAGTTCTCACCACCAGCTAGGTTCGTCTGTGCTCCTAGTCCCTGCCGCACCAGCACCATGGAGATGGAGACGCTGGCTTTTTTCCGTTTCGATCGGCACCCGGCAAGTCAAATCCTGACCGGGAACGAGCACCACACACAGGGCCACACGGGTTACCCGCCCTAGTGGCATGGCTTTACGGCCCGCGCACCCAGGGCAAATCCAACGGACGGCGCCCGGGGCGGCTAGCCGGCTACGCTTCCACGACGGCAAAAAGGCCGTCGCCCGGTACCCGTCCGTCTGCTGTCGATCAGTCAGTAGTCACATTGCTGCCTCAGCCTCCATCCAACCAAGATTGAAAAGAAAAGCAGCCTTCCACGAAGACGAAAAGAAGCGTCTGCTCTCGACGTTCCAATCGGAGAGAGTGAAACGAACTGTTTTCCGGAAGGGACCGGCCGGTTTGGTTTCTGCACGCTCACCAGTCACAGAGGCTACTATTGCTAGCTCATGTATACTACTCTTGCTTCTAGTAGGAGTACTATAAGGATTCAGATCATCGGAGCAAGGCTAATAATATAGCCAAGTTTCTTTACCGTCTTCTCTTAGTCCACTCATACAGTAATTAGCTCTTCACTATTAATATATGGTTCACTTATCTCTCTCACAGAGTTTCTTGATTATTATGGCTAAACCGGCTATAAGCTTACAAACCGCTCGTACTCTCTCCTCTACGTCAGCATTTAACCAGCTTACATCCTGCTTCTGTACTTGCTCGGGCTGTAGACAGGTTGGTGGTTAAGTTTAAACTTAAAAGTGGACGGGCGCACACGCGGTCCGATTGATTGCGCTGCCCCGTTGTCCGATGCCCGGTGCCACGTCGCCATATGAACCTTTGCGGCCGCTGGACAGAGAGAATCTCTCGGCGCAGCACGGACCAGCCACCAGCGGCAGCGGCTCAGAAGCTCGCCGCCGCCGCAACTGCAGGAGTGCAAGCCCAGGTTCACACCGCAACGGAGGTGGCTGAATTATTGGAGTGAAAAACTGAAAGGCACTTCACGCTTGAAGGGACAGAGGCAACAGACAACGCTGCAACACACCGGAACGGAAACACCCCCACTTGGCCTTACGGTATGGCTGTCGTTGTTTTCTGACTGAGGATTCAGATTTGCGTGCCGCTGAGGCTGAGCTGAAAGGGACGTGGGCTGCAGATCTGGGATAAGGACTAACTAACTGTACGGGTATTACTAGATGATTGGGGTTTGGCAGAGGGAGATATGCAGTGCAGCTCGCACTGATGGTCACCAGTAGCGGTACACGGTACTGGGACGGTTACTGGTTGGCGAGCCTACTGCCCCAACCGCGCGCCATCTGCCTCGTGACACTTGGCAGCGCCTATCGTGTGGTGGGTGGGTGTGTACCGTGTACGACTTGTGCCAGTATTAGTACTAGGTACTGCTGCCAACAGTTGCACAAGCTCTCGCCGTTTGGTGCAAGGTTGCTGCAAGGTCTCTGTCGTACGCTCGTATTGCACTTCACTGTAGTACAGTACCCACATGTCCAGGTTGACTTCTCTGACAACATTAAGTTTGGTGTACCTCTGCAGATTGGAAATTTGAGTTGCCCATGAGGAAAAACCGCTGCCTAATAATACACCCTGGACTGGACATCCAAAGATCTTTTTGGGCATCACCAACTAACCAATGTCACATACATACGTACAGTACTCTAGAGAGTAGAGGCTGTTATGTTTTCTCTAAAAAGATCTTGGGCCCACATGTTACAAAGTTTAGGGGAACTATAACTTTGGAGAGGGCGTTTTTGTTAGCGGGAGCTGTGTGGAAGTGATAAAGGAAAGATTGTTTCTAGAGGTAACCTAAAAGGTCTAGCTAATTGACTCAGCAGGACTCTAGTCTCCCTAGTGGAGGTGGAGAAGAATCACATTCCACCATGGATAAGTGCTTGCCGGATGGGAATGAAATCGGGGAATAGTCAACTCATGCAGGAAGGTAAAGGTAGGTTACGCAACCAAGTTGCTCAAGATCGACTTTAATTACTGACGCCATGAAATAACGTTTAGAACGGATGGTTCCTAGAGGCTGAAGATTGTTTGTATCGCGAAGTTTCAGAATGACCGATTCTTTTTTTTTCAGTATGACGCCAAGGAAATGGCGAGAAAATGAGAGGACCAAGTATATCTGGCCTTTTTTTTTCACCGACGATGAATTTTCTGGAATCCTGAATGAGACAGAAGGAAGACATGTAGGATGGCTCTAGCGTCCCTGGACTACAGTTCTCTGTTCTTCAACTAGGTAGCTGATATATAGTGATGTTCAGCAAACCTCACCGACACTCTGCTACTTGCTACTACCTCGTTGCAGTGGTAGGATTTATAGTTCAACGAAGTGTTGCGTTCAACAACAACAAAAAAAGTTCAACAAAGTCTCTGAAGTATCCATATACTGAACTCTAGTATGATCAAGAAGACAGTACTGAAGCAGCCAGCTATGTGTGTGAATGATCTACTTGAAAAACGAGAACGAACGCGAGATCTCAGATGGTGTCTCCAGGAAATGAAAGGACTCCTCCGTGAACAGAGTCAGCCGGTGGAGATCGATCGACCACAACGCGCAACGGCGCAAGAACACGGCCTGCAAAGTGCAAACTAACGGCGACTGACGTGGCCGGGCTCAAAGAAAGCCAAAACGCGAGTACTCCACCGGCTACAAGCCTATAGGCACCTACACCGCTACACGATCACAAGTTCATAACAGCCATTCGTGGCGCGTGATGAAGCTGATCGAGGGCGTTAGGGGGGAACGGTGCCGCGCGTACCTGTGTTGCGCGCGCGGACGCGGGTGGAGACGGCGGCCCACGCGCGGCGCGCCTGGGAGACCACCTTCTTCCGCCACCACGCCATGACAGCGCGCACGGGCGCCGGGATCCTCGCGGCGGCCAGCCTCGACGCCCGCCGACGCGCTCCCCGTCAGTTTCCCCTGCCCACCTCTGCTTCTGATGATCGAGCGCGCTCCCCTCTCCCGTGACCAGGTCAGGTGTGGTTGCAACTGTTTATGGAGAAAGAGAGGGAGAGAGAGCGCGCGCGCGCAGAGGCAGAACTGCGTGTGTTGGTTCGTTATTGGCCTGGCCGCCGCCGACGGCTGCTGCTCAGAATTTCCTGCGTTTTGGATGAGCGGGCGGGCGGGCTCTGCTTTTTATCCCGTGCCTTTTGCGAGGTAGGCAGGCTCTGCCTGCGTCGTCTCTGCCTGGTAAGCTGTCCCCACCAGGCAAAACGAAGCGAAGCGGCGCGTGCGTCCGTGCCTCGTGGCGGCAGGCCAGTCGAAGTCGAACACTTGTGGGCAGCAGGGCGCGCGCGCGTACGTGCGAGTGCCTCTTGATCTCGGCTCGGACATGGAATTTGACCCGAGCGCGACCCGCACCGCCCAACGGCGTGGTTACGTACGTATGGCCACACGAGGGGTGGAAGGAATTGCCCGGCGACCGCGACCTAACCTTCGGCCGCATGCTGGTGTCACGGCCACTGTCCTCTCCTTCCGTCAGGGTTAGGTATCCAGCTAAAGTTTGACACGGATGCTGTTTCCACAGGGACATCTGACAGTCGAATTCTTAGTATATATGTACCGGGTGACTGGTAGCTGCTACTGCCTCTATTATTTGGCTTTCAGAATTCAGGGTTGTTTGTTGATAACAACAAGCCCTTGGAATGATGAAGAAGAAACCGTATGTTTGGTTGTAGTCCACAACAGTCCCTGGATCCCGCAGCGCTGTAGACTTGTGGCTCGACTTCTTTTGCCGCTTTGCAAAGCAAAAGAGAAGCCGCTAGCCGCATGGCGCGGTGTGGCGATGGCCGGCACCCCTCCCATCTCCGTCCAGGCGCGGGTGCTTGCCGGTGTGCGCCTCCCTCCATCACGGGCGAGTCCGGAAACGGCTCCGCACGGTGTGACGGACGGCCGGCACCCCTCCTACCTCCATCCAGGCGCGGGGCGCTTGCCGGTGCACGCCTCCCTCCGTCGCGGGCGAGTCCGGGAACGGCTCCGCGCGGTGTGACGACGGTCGGCACCCACTCTCCCTCTCCCCGTCCAGGCGTGGAACAAGGCTCAGGTGAAAGCTTTGTCAAGTTCCTGCTTGGCCGGCGATGATTACGTTGTGACGTCATTCACCTCCTTGGAGGCGTCGTCGAAGGGCTCCTGTGCGTTTGTGTGGTAGTCTTTGCATTTCGCTGGTGTATTTGTGGTCCTACCACTTTTCGCCTTGGTGCTGAGGCGTTGTTGTTGTTTTTTTTTTCCTCCTCAACGTTTGTAAATCATATAACGAGCCGACTTGGGGTTATATATCAATATATATTTAGGTGGGGAGTAATCCCTCTGGTGATATTAAAAAAAAAGTTGGAGCAGCATTGACGTTATGTCAGGCAAACATGATTCTTTTTTTTTTTTTTAAAAACAAACATAATTCTGTTTAGTCCATTTTTTGAGTGAAGATTGTCTTGACCACAGGACGAACTGGAGGATGGGCAACCAGCAATAAACTAACGAGGTCACCCTCCGTTGCAAGGAACGTGCAAAGCTTTGGGCTAAAAGAAGAAACACTAGTCCACTATTCTATCCGCTCACACTGCGAAGGTCCTTACGGATACGCAAGAAACAAACAACGGGTCGGTGATGGACAAGTGAAAGCGTTGTGAAAACGGGTTATGCATGTCGTCTTTGCCGCGTGGCTGGATGAGAGGCTACTAGCCTACTACCATGAGATTTTCTAGGATTTGGATTAGATCCGATCGTAACAAGATGTTAGTTCTGTCTTATCCGCCGGTGGTATGAGTAGCTAGCCTATGTGTGTCTCCAGTGATCTCTTGACAAATATGTTACACTAGCTTAACTCGTCAGTCGTCACACAACGAACAACTGAACAAAGCCGTGGGCTTGGAAGGATGCCTGTTGCTGCCAAGAAAAAGTGATCACGTGACACCATAGTAACTAGTATCGTTCTTTCACGACGAGGAGCGACCAGTTTCCCCGACAAAGGCTCCGTTCGCTTCGCTGAAAAAACAAGTCGAAACATTGTTCCGGCTGATTTGTTGTGAGAGAAAAACACTGTTCCAGCTGAAAAAACAAACTAAAAAAACGGATTATAAGATAAGCGAACAAGACCAAACTAGCAAAAGGGTTTGACATGTACTAGTGCTCTAAAAAGTAAAAGAAAGAAACATAAGACTGAAAAAATAGTAGATGAATATTATCAATTGGCTAGAGGAGAAAACAATCGGCCAATCACCCTTTGAAAGGTGCACCAGGTCTTTGACCTGTGTACAGGTCCGTCTACGAGGTTAACTGTACCTTTTGACACATCCAACCGGCTTTATATTGGAAACATTATCCACATGTATGCGCCATGTTTGTTTGGCTTATAAGCCATGGCTAAAAGTACCATTTGCTGATTTAATGTGAGAGAAAAATACTATTTATTAGCTGATAAATCATGACTTATAAGCCGAATACGACCAAGCGAACATGCAGATGTTTCCTTCTTGAGAATTTTCCTCCCCGGCTTCATTCCTGCTGATCACACCATGCACGTAGTAGATTATGTAATTTTGTCCCTGCAGCTTGAGGCTCCAATTAACGCCAGCTCAGACATATCTCATTATTCCAAGTTTGTTTGCACATCCTATTCGGTGGCAGCACTTGCTGCCCTGTTCACTTGAACTGCTTCAACAGTATTTTTAGTGAATAAACAATATTTTTCTCTCATAATAAATCAGCATAAGCATCAACATAAGCTAATATGGATACTACTAGAATAACCTAAAATATACCATAGAACATGTCACAAGTACCAGTGAATATTTAATGATAATTGTAGATCATCCCTGTCGGTGTTTCGAACAACACCGGCGAGTGAATTTATAATTGATGAACGTTAGGCTCGGATGGTGTGCTAAATGACACAAGGTTTATACTAGTTCAGGCCGAATGTCCCTACGTCCAGTCCGCTGCCGCTGCTTGTATTATTAGCACCAAATATGGTTCGTAGTAGGGGTACAAACGGTCGAGAGAGGGACAGGTCCCAGGTCTCTGATGGAGGGGTCGAAAGGATGCCAAGGACCTGGCGACGACTTGGCTGTGTGTGCGTGGAACAGAAAGCTCTATGAGCTCGTCTGTATGTGAGTTGTCCGTTGAAAGTCGATTTGTTCGGTCCTCCCTTCCTAGGGAGCCCTGTCCTCCCTTTTATAGACGAAGGGGGAGCAGAGGTTACAGGTGAAAAATACCAAGGGTATAGAAGATCCTTCGAAGGGCTCAGGTCTTCTTTTTCCTCTATGCCAGACTCAGACACGACCAGCTGGTGTCAGAGGTTGGCACGTTCGCCGGGTACTTGTGTGCTGATGATGCTGCGTTCTGCAAGTGGTCACGTCCCATCCCGCCTCTACGGGCGACGTGTCGGGCAGGAGTGCCGGCCTGCGATACTGTGGGGGGCGAACGGTGCGGCACCCGTACGCTTGTCAGCACCGGGGACGTGAGTCCTATTGCGATGTTTGTGTCAGGCTCCGTGCTCGAGGGTTGAAGGCGGCGCCCGCAATACTCAGCCTATTCGTTTGGCTGTGGCTTGTCGTAAACGATCGTAAATTTCTAGCCGGAACGGTATTTTTCTCTCACACAAACCAACCAGCAGTACTTCTTCACGAACCAGCAACGAAACGAACCAGCCAACCGAATAGGCTGACTGTAGGCCGTAAAACCCGGCGCCTACAGTACTACTCAGGTTCTGTCATGTCCGGCAGGGCCTAAAGCGCTCGTCCCGTCGTACTTCGATGGTACTTGTCAGTGGAGCAGGGCATGGTCCTTGCCTCCGTGGTTTGACCCTAACGTCCTGTCCTACCCTGTTCCTGCCATCATGGAGGGGCAGGATGAGGACGTCGGGTGAGGCGGTGCTCAGCCCTTGTCGGCCGAACGAGGCGGAGTCCGGCCCTCGGGGGTCGTACGAGGCGGAGCCTGGCCCTCGGGGGTCGGACGGGGCAGAGTCCGGCCCTCGGGGGTCGGACAAGGCGGAGTCGGGTCAGACGAGGCGGAGTCGTTGCGCTCCTGTTCGATTGGGAATGTCGTTGGTACTTATCAACTCTACCTCATTGGGTATCCCAGTATTAGATCCCCGACAGTAGCCCCCGAGCCTCTGGGTGATTCGGGTAGAATCGCCCGAGGGTTGTCCCGGCTCGCTAGAGAGTGTTCGGGTTTGCCAGAGGGTGCGCGCGAGCACACCCGATGGGTGTAGCCCCCGAGCCCCTGGGTGATTCGGGTGGAATCGCCCGGGGGGTGTCCCGGCTCGCTAGAGGGTGTTCGAGTTTGCCAGAGGGTGCGCGCGAGCGTACCCGATGGGTGTAGCCCTCGAACCCCCGGGTGATTCGGGTAGAATCGCCCGGGGGGGTGTTTTTGGACCCTCCGTGGGTAGGACAGTGAGATTTGGCCTTTCTTAGCTAGATAGCTTTTGAGGAAACCCTAGGGTCCCATTTGCGGGGATGTCGCCCGGGCTTAGCTTGGCCGAGGTTTTGACCTTTAAGAAGTTGAAGTCCCATTGGTGCTCGCGTACCAGAGTCTTTGTTTTTTGCGGGTCCGTCCCTCGTTTGAAACGTCCGTCGAGATGGTTGGGCCGACCCTGGTCTTTCTGGGCCTAGACGGACCAGAGAAGGAAGTCTTTTTGGCCCACGTCTCCTCTGTTTGGAGAAGAGTTCGGTCACCTGGGAAGATGAACCGTTCGGCGCGATTTTGGTGGGAGCGGATAGGGATTGCAGGTGCGTGTCCCGCGACATGATGCAGTGGTGCGCGTGGTAGGCCTGAAGATCGAGGCAGACGGTTGCCCTTCTCGCATCCGTCGCCACTATAAAACCGCGGGGTTCACCCCCAGGGTTCCGTACTCCGCCCCCTCGTCTTCGCATCTGCAACCCTCGCCGCCAATCACCCTAGCTTCCCACGCCAGTACTACCGCCGCCGTTGGGTCCGCGTCCCCGTTCACTGCCGCCGTCGAGTTCGCATTCGCGCCACCGCCCCCGTTGAGCTCACACCCACCTTCCTCCCGGTGTTTCGATGGAGCTGTGGGGCAGATCTGGCATTACTCCTCGACGTCTGGAGGGCCTCGTCCGCCGTGGCCTCCTCCGCCCGCTGTCTGCCGTCGGGGAGTGGCTGCTGCCCGGCGAGGAGAATGAGCCGGTGCCGCCCGAAGGGTATGTCGTGTCCTTTGTCGTCTTTCATGAGCGGGGATTTGTCGTACCCGTGCATAGATTTCTTCAGGGGTTGCTGGATTATTACCAGGTGGAGTTGCAGCATCTTACCCCCAACGGTGTTCAGCACATGGCGGCGTTTGTTGCCCTGTGTGAGGGTTTGTTGGGAATCAATCCCCACTTCGATTTGTGGTGGCACTTCTTCACCGTCAGCCTGTCGAAGAGGAAGATTGGGGGGAAGGATGTGAACGTGCTGATGGGTTGTGCCAGTATTCATTTGCGCCCCACTCGGTCGAAGGACTACCCGCTGATGCGTCTGTCGACCTCAAATAAGGGGTGACATTCGCAGTGGTTTTATGTTAAGGATGACCTGAGCGCCACCTTGCCGAGGTACTCCGAGCGTCTTATCGTCGAGGCCCCAGAGCTATGGCTGTGGGGCTGCCCGACGCCGGCGAAGAAACACCTTGCCGACCTTCTTGCCGCCATTCGCTCTCTGAAGGTCCGGGGCATGAAGGGGTCGGGGATTATTGGTGCCTACCATACGAGGAGGGTGGCGCCACTGATGGCGCACGCGCTCCCCTGTACTGGATGGTTCCTGGAGAGTCGTTCGAGGGAACGGTGCTCGCTGATGAGGCGCTTGCTCCCTCCGAGGTAGCGCAGCGTATCAAGGAGGCGATGGA